GTTTGGTCTGCCTTCATTATTGAGAGTGTAACATATTTGGCCTTTGGGCTTCTTTTTTTGTTTTTTTTATTTTTATTTACAAAAATGTTTTTAAGTTTATTCATTTATTTTGAGAGAGAGAGAGAGAGCGCGCGCAAGCGGGGATGGGGCAGAGAGAGAAGGAAAGAGAATGGACGCAGGGCTCGAACTCACGAACCGTGAGATCATGACCTTCGCCAAAACCCAACAGGTCGGGTGCTTAACCAACGGAGCTTCTTAAGTTGGGCTTCTTTGGGCTTCTTAAGTTGAAAATGTATGCTTCGCAGTAACTGTTCTGGGTAGTTTGATAGAGTGATGAATACCTTTTTCCATTTTGCGCTTCTCCAAGATTACTGTGGAACCATGATTATTGAAGGAGAGGAAGCTCCAATTGCCTACACGTTGGATGATACCAAACCTGATGGCAACTATGCCGCCATAATGGGGTAAGGCATGCTTATGGTGGTGTGGATGCCATTCGGTGTTGCCAAAATATTCCCAGGCTCTTCATAAATGTGCCCCAAACATTGTTAAATAATTTTTTACCCAATGGCACTATTCTTCAAATCTGGCAGTAGAAAAATTCTTAATGCCTTTAGAAAAAAATAATAATGTGTTCCAATGGATAGATATTTAGAAAAGAAGTAGAATACTAAAAATATTTTAAAGTTTGTTGTATCCATTTTCTGCTTCGTATTTAGTGCTGGGGAGTAGCTATATTTTGGTGGCCTATCTTTTATGAAAGCATAATATAAAGATGATGTGGGGTGTTTTACTAAAAGGGCTTCTTGTGGATGCCGTATGGGCATCCATGGTACTTAGGTGGGATGCTGAGATTTTCCAAGTCCTGCTAGAGAGGATCTAAGGCCGGCCCAGCCCTCTGCTTGGCAGGGAAAAGCGGCACAGACTGGGGATGTCTTAGTGGTCAGAACCAGTCCAGATTGGTGATTACCTGAAGCAGCCGAAACTGACATGGGCCCTAAGATATATACAAATTTATTTCCAAGAGAAGCACGAGCGACAACAGGGAAATCAAAGCCAGTTGTTAAGTTGAAGGCGATTATAGAGCTACAAATGGAGGCAGATTCTCCGAGTCTGGGCACTAGGGAGACACCATCATGGGGACAGAATCAAAGAGCAAGGGCTGGATGAAGTTGAAAAGGCTCCAACCTTAGATGAGCATTTGAGACCCAAGGGCTCATTCTTGTTGGCCATCAGCCACGTGGGGGAGGTGGGTCAATCATAGTCATTTTCTTAGGCAGAAATTATGGCCATCATCTGTGTTTAGTCCCTCACATCCCAGAACCTAGAAGGTGCTTGTCAATGTCAAGGACGCAGCACGTAAATAGTAAAACATTGAAGAAGATAAATTAGTATAGAATGTGTTTCTTCTGGTCAACTTTTCGATTGTACTCGAGGCACGTGTGTGGCTGTAGAAATGCGTCCAGGATGAAAGCAGCCATTAATTTCCCCCCTTATTTGTATGTTTTAGATTTATCCTTGCCCACAAAGCCAGGAAACTGGCACGTCTTACCAAAGATGAAAGGTAAGAAAAAAAAATCACTCTTCTTTCTTTCTTCCCTCCCCCCTTCCTCCTCCCTCCCTCCTTTCTTTTCTTCTTTCCCTCTTTTCCTCCTACTCGCCTGCCTTTCCATTTTACTACACTTTGTAACTTAAAGACCGCCTAATAATATGTGTGCCGCCAATGTGACGGGGGCGCTATGTTAAATATGAGGGTCTTTGAGAACCAAGTAGTCAGATGATCACTTGGTGAGTTTATTGTACATAAGATACCATGCAAGGAGCTATCTTGAATACAGAAATGGACATAGCCCAGGGGCAGGAAATGTACTTGGGAAGGAGACAACCAGGTAGACTAAATGACTGCATGGCAGGGCAGTCTGCTGTGTCGTTGCATGAGTGATGTGTGACAGTTACAGATGAGAGATACAGAGGGACGAGTTTTTCTGGAGGCCGCAGTTTCTTCCAGCAGTTAGTGTTCACCCCCACCAATTATTTATTCCCGCACCACCACTGATGCGGATTTCCCAAGTAAGAGCCTCTGAATTGCATTCCTTCCCCGCCTGTTATCACCATCCTCTGGGACTATGGCCACCACTGTGCTTGGCCGGGGGTATGGAGGTCTGATGGGGCCACGCACCTAAAAAAAATTGCCACTGGAATATTAAGATCCGAGAAGGTAGGAGGTTTCGTCTGGCCCGTTCACTGCTGGATCTCCAGTGCCTGGAACAGTGCCTCCAACAACTCTTTTCCCAGTTTATCTTTTTTTTTTTT